TGAGAAAATGAACCTTGAGAGAGAAAGCTTACTTCCATATGAAGGCTCTGAATTGCATGTGTTTAATCAGACGACCACCCTTTTATGGGGAGATGCGAGATGGTGTTATCATTAAGAAACAAAAAATATATTTGAGCGGTCAATTCCAAGTTCCTCGTTGTCCCTTGCCAGAGCATTTATAATTGTCTCCTAGGAAGGCCCTTTTCTGCTATGCTGAATTTGTTGCCTTATCGGTGCACCTCAAGCTCAAATATCACAACCTCAAAAGAGAGTCAGTCACTGTCAAAGCCGACCTCGAGGGAGAAAAAATATATCTAGAGCTCCAGAATGACCAAGGAGAATGCAAAAAAATGGAGATTAATGTAGCTTCCCTCGCCAATCGCTCAGCATGATTGGCATTTTCCCCTCACAAAGTGGATAGATCAATGAAGGGCGAACAATAAGAATAAGCGACGGCTAGCCCGTTTGGTTATATTTTCTTTATCCCATTCATATTAAATGATGTGATTGAACAATAGTCTTCCTTATGTACAAGGGAAACCTGCGATTATAAATGAAATACGATTTTTATGGTCATTCATTTATTTGGAATTGTGCATAGTTACAGTGAGTCTAGGGTACATCCGACTACATCAATCCATCCCTGACAACACAAAGTACACACAAAGGAAACCACGGGTGCTACCGGAGACGCTTTGCACGTCCAACTACAACAACCAATCCCCCCACATCCAATAACCATCCACCATCCACTGGCAGCTAGTCACTCTATAGGTCGCAGTGGCTTGACCATGCATCTACCCCTGATCGAGTTTTAATCTAATGGGGGGAATAAAAATCAACGCGTGGCCGAGAACTTCCATGTAATGTCTAATAAAATTCGAGTAACACCTCGTATTCTCATACAAGATCTAGTGTCTTGCACTCAGGATCATACAAATATGCATCCAGAGCCTCTCACTTAGGGTCATAAGAATATACCTTAAATAGGTAAAAAATAATTTGATTCAAAAAATGTCAATATAAGCATATACATTCTTCCATTACATCAGTACTACACATGGAGTACATAAAAATTCCTTTCAGGGTTACTTCCTCAGAGACATGGCCTCTCCATCTTTAATCATTTGATCCACCCGAATTTTCTCCCTCGAGACAATTAAGGATAGTGAAAATGCTCAAATTTCTACAAAAAATTCTCAAATGACTGCAAGACAGCCTCTAGGGTAGCACTCGTACAGTCGATCATATATTGAGTCAGAAAAACATTCTAAAGGCGCAAAAAGTCTAATTCCCCATGAGAAGACAACAAACGGCCCAGAGCAGAAACTTGGGTCTGGTTCTTCCTCACCACTGTCCTCACTAGATGAGTCACCTTGTCGGAAAATGATCCAGCAAGATTAAGGGGGAGTAAAGCATATTTCACTCGGGTAAGAGAGGTAGAAACCTTCTCTATTTCTTGAAGGTATTTATCCCTTTGAAGCTTCATACTGTGAATGCTCTCCTCTAGTCGTTACTTCTCAGCATGGTGGCGGTTGAACCAAAGATCCTCCTAGTGGCTAGCTCTACCTAGAGCTAAAGCATTAGAAGCGCAAAGAGTATACCAAGTTAGAGTAACAAGTTCTTCTTCCTAGAGAGGCCTAAATAGATTAGCTAGATAAGTGCAATCCGCTTTCAAGGGACGAGTTTGTAGGTTAGCAGAGGAGTGAGAACTCAACCCTGTCAATAATGGACGGGTAGGAAAACCCTACATATTCGGAAGAATTAGAAGCTTACTCAAAGCAGCGTCACTCCTAGTCAGACACATCCCTCACTTCAAAATGCGGAAAGTTATTTAATCTTTCATATGATCTGTTCACCCATCATAATTAGTGTCATAACAAATACATCATGAACATGCATGTTAAAAAGAAAAGAAAAACAAGAGTTTTCGTAACTTACAGAAGACAACTTTCCATTCTTCTTGGGAATGTGTCTCCATCAGCAATTAAAAATTAATTAGGTGTTGCAAGCGCCTCTGGTCAACTTCATTCGTAGGGGTACTTCCTCTAAAGTAACCAAACATGCTAATGAAACTCATCATTGTCCCCCTGAGCAGAGAACAAACTGCTCAAAGTTGAAACTTGGGTCTGGTTCTTCCTCACCACTGTCCTCACTAGATGGGTCACCTGGTCGGAAAATGATCCAGCAAGATTAAGGGGGAGTAAAGCATCTTTCACCCGGGTAAGAGAGGTAGAAACTTTCTCTATTTCTTTTAGGTATTTATCTCGTTGAAGCTTCATACTATGAACGCTCTCCTCTAGCCGTTACTTCTCAGCATGGTGGTGGTTGAACCAAAGAGCCTCACAGTGGCTAGCTCTACTTAGAGCCAAAGTAGTATAAGCACAAAGAGTATACCGAGCCAGAGTAACTGGTTCTTCTTCCTAGAGAAGCCCGAATAGATTAGCTAGATAAGTGCAATCCGCTTTCAAGGGAGGAGTTTGTCGATCAACAGAGGAACGAGAACTCGGCCCTGTCAATAAATGGACGGGCAGGAAAACCCTACATATTTGGCAGCATCAGAAGCTTATTCAAAGCAGCGTCACTCCTAGTCAGACACATCCCTCGCTTCAAAAGGCGGAAAGTTACTTAATCTTTCATACGATCTGCTCACCATCACAATTAGTGTCATAACAAATACATCATGAACATGCATGTTAAAAAGAAAAGAAACCAAGAGTTTTTGTAAATTACCAAAGACAACTTTCCTTTCTTCTTGGGAATGTGTCTCATCGGTAATTAAACATTAATTAGGTGTTGCAAGCGCCTCTGGTTGACTTCATTTGTAGAGGGTACTTCCTCTGAAGTAACCAAACATGCTGATGAAACTCATCAGTTGTTTTTTCTGATACAAGGCTTAATCAAAAATATCCTCATCTATATATGTGTACGCACTCTTCCCCATACGGAAGTGACTCTCAGACTAGTACTTGGGGAACAACTTTGTCCCCAATGATGCAAACAGTGGCATGAGCTTTGGGGATGATGTGGGTGACCAGAAATAACTGATATTTAAAAGTTTGTAGCTTGGGAAGAGGACCAAAGCCAAACACAATCAACTCTAAAGAAATTAGCCCCCTGTTACACCCCTGAGCCACATGACTATGGAGGTATTTAAAGAGATGAAGGAAAAGAGTCACAAAAGGCATTCTTTTCAGGTACGCACACTAATACTGGTAAACCTTCACATATGCTCAACTTGCAGGATGATGTTGCGAAGGAGCTATAGCTAGATGCTTCAAGACTTCAATCTTAAAGGCAATGAAGGGCAAGCAAATACCTTGGAAGGAGAAAGTGAACTCGTAAAAGGGAATGGCACGATCTACATACGCGTTGCATATCCTTTCATCCTCGATCAGATTCAAGACTACCCAGTAAGAAGATGGACCGACTTTGGTAAAGGCATCATCAAGACCGCCTACTTTAGCGAAAACAGAAATATTAGAAGAGAATGCAGAATCCACCCAAGAAGATTAAGCACTCTTTTGTGATTTCTAATCCATTATGCACTAACTTTTCAAATACAAGAAAGTGAAATACCAAAGAGTAAGATAATTGTTAAACTGGGGAAATAACTATAAAAAAAAACACCATTGACTTTTGATCTTTATCTAATGTGTCAAATCACTTGCATGTAACACTGAAGTGTTTCGGTTCTCCAAAGTTGTAATAATGGTACTTTCGAAAAGATGTTTTAAGTATGGACCATTAAATGCATGAATCTCCAAGAAACCAGAACGCTTTCTTTTGATCTCCCAAACGTAAAGGCAAGAGTGGTTGGTAATTGATGCCAGAGTAATAACTCATGCCTTGCCAAGCATAGACACGAGCTTAGGGGGCAACTATTCGGACTGGTCATATCGATCTCGACCGACCATTCAGAGGGAATAGTAACCCTTCCATAATCATTTTAGTACACGAGAATTCTCCTTATGACGTTAACAAAGATCTCAACTGCAAGTGCATTCAACTACTCTCCGCAATCCACTCATAACAAATAGCGAGTGTGTTATTTTCCCTTTATATATAGAGAGAAAATGCGTCAAATCAAAGTAACAAGATTCAAACACAATTTCAATTTTCTTCTTCCTCATATTCTGACTTGAGCGTAGGAGTGCTAACTTTACAGGTACCCTCTTCCGCGTCAGAAGATCAAAACCACCATCACTTCCGATCACCATTCAATTTCAGATTTTAGAACGGAACATAATCATTTTTCATATTTAAGTTTTGATGTAATTTTTTATGTGAATATTTATAATATAAGATCTATTGAAAATTGTAGATGCTCAATTGTGTACATAACAGATCATAAATTGTAATGAACAGAATGTTCGTGCATAATATGTTGCAAATTTAAGAATATAAATATTAGAAATAATTATATTAACCTCATGATGTATGTTAAAATGATATTAATATTTTCTCTAATTTTTAAATATACACTAACTTTCTCTAAATTTAGTTATAGCAACTAAATATTATAGAGCCAGACAAAAACTATAAATAAATATTATTTATATTTACAATTTTTTTTATGTTATTAAATATTAGAAGAAGTGTCGATGTAAATTAATACATAATTTAAAATTAGAGAAATTATATGTGTTGTTTTAATAAACATCAAAGAAGGTGAATGTAATTTATCCTAAATACTATACTACATAAACAAAAATCAAGTAAAAATAACCTAATTAATTCCCAGGGCAAATTGAATATAATTCGAAAGCCAGAGATTTTTTAATAAAAGAAAAAATGAAATTGATTTATTTAGTTGAATTGTAAAATTATTGACTATAAATTTGTACACGTATAAACTATAATTGAATGAATAAAGCTTGAGATTTGGTTTTGGGTCACGGTATCTAGCTGGTGTTAGTGGAACGTGTTCCAAACTTTACACCTAAACTGGAAAGCGTGGTGGTGATAATGGTGGTGGATGAGCAACATCGTCGGCGACATTACGTGCAATCTCCGCGGCTGCGGCCAGGCACGGTGGAGCATGGGTTTCTCTGGGAGCCTTGGACGGGACCTCTTTGTAGTGACTGTGTTGCTACATTCTTATACAACAATAACACTTGCTTCTCTATTAATAACGGTCTTATTGCCGTTATTTGTTGTGAACCCAAAAGCATAATTATTGTTACAAGTACTATCATTTTGGTGTAGCAACTCATTATTTGTGGTGGAGTGTATGGATACGATAATTTGATGAAATGTTGAGTATATTTATAGGGTAGGACTTAGGATATTAATGAGATGATAAAGTAAGTTTGACCGAAAATCAACTTTGGGGATGAAACACTTGTGAAATTTCCTTTCAATTGCTTATAGTTGAATGAGTCTTACAATTCATAATATTGATTTCTATTTTTGTGAAGCTTTTCATACGTTTTTGACTTGCCGTGCTTATTTGTTAAGGTGATAGACTATGTCAAACCAAGACAAACGCATGTCACTCTTCCCCGCAATATAAGCTGGGAAAGTACATTCTCCCTCTGGATTTTTTTCTTTCTCAAGTCTTATGAATCAATTTGTGTTTTCCACGAAGTTGGGTTTCAACAATTTTTAAGAAACATAAAAGGAAGAAAATTGAGTAATCTATTTGCTACATTTCACATATACTTTCCTCAAGGTTTCTTTAATTGTATTTTGTCCTATAAATAATCTCATTGTAGTTTTTACTATTTAGATGAAAGAAATTGACTTCTTTTAAATAAATTTTTTTATGCTTGAGTTTAACTTGGGTATTAATATCTTTAGTGAAAATTAATTTAAAAATTCTAAATAAAAATTAATGTGGAATTTACTAACATTATTTAATTGAATAATGAGTATTTATCCAGCTAGATTTAAAGAGTATTGAAGAGTTCACTTTACGATATCTAAATGGAGATGTAGAGAGAGTAGAAAGAAGTTTTGAGAGCATGCATAAGGGATATGGTTTAAGGGTGTTGGAAAAGAGATGAATTTCTTATGACATATAAAAGTGGGATGACATGTATTCAGATAGATTTCTTTCTTATTAGGAAGTCGGATAGAAATATTTGCTTGAATTGTAAAGTTATTTCGGGAGAGAGCTTCACTATATTAGTTATGTATGTAACAATAAGGGAAGATCAAATAGAAGAAGCCACGTGGGAGCTCCACAGATCAAGTGGTGGCATTTGAAGGATAAAAAATAAGGAATATTCCAACACAAGATCTTGGAGGTAGGGTTTGGACGACCACAAGGAAGTGTAAATGATATATGGAATAAGATGATACAAGAGATTAAAAAACCAGCTAAAGAGATATTGAGTGAATCAAAAGGTTTTAGTCCTAGGGGTAAAGAATCTTGATGGTGGAATGGAAGTGTTCATAGTAAAGTTAAAGTAAAAAAAGATTATTTTAAAGAATGGTCAATGTGTAAAAAATTTTGAAACTTGAGAAAAGTACAAAAAGGTTAAAAATGAGACTAAGAAGGCGGTGAGTGAAGCGATCATTGGATTTTAGATTGTTTTTTAGTGTGTTTTTATATTTAAATTTAGGTTGTTTAATCTTTATTTTTCTACTTTTACATTTGTTTGTGTGTTTTCTGCGCTTTTCAAGTAAAAAGGACTATCTGGGACAAAATAGAAGTCAAATGGGGGTCAAAGGCACAAAGTTCAGTGAAGAGTCATTCTCCCATACAAAAACCAGAGGATCACTATAGTCTGGTTGTAGCACATTCTACAGGTTGTAGTGGCCTCTAACATATTCCCCATACAAAAAGAAGAGAGCGCCTACAATCTAACTGTAGCACCTGCTACTGGTCGTAACAACCCCAATAGCTGGTTACGAATTCCTTTGTTTGAAACGCTTTTCTTCCGTCTCTTCCCATTCCAACTGTTTTATGGAAAACATCTCTCAAAGGACAATAATGTTAATTGAGTGATGTGATCATTTGTGAGTTCCTATAAATGGCTAGGATTTGGAGAGAAACACACATAAGACTTTAGGTTTTAACTTTGACTTTGTAATTTGTTCATTGCATTTTATTTTCAAAGCTACTACTCTTGTTGTACTTATCAACTCTTCATTCGAACATTTTAATTCAATTATCTTTTTATTTATTCAGGTTATAAATATAATTACATTGTTATTATTGCAATCATTATGTATATGATTTTGTTGCGTTACTAATTAGTATGTCTGAGTAGTCCCATAAGGACTAAGGGCCACGAGGATTGTCTTGTGACAGACCTCATGTGAACTCTTTGTTGTACTATTACGAGAAACAAAACTTAAATTATTTTGGAACTTGAATCTTTTCACTTAGATGTCTTTATGAAAGTAAAGACATTTTAGATACTGATCACATGTTGAAAGAGTGTGTTTCGATATTTGAACATGAAATTCCAAACAACTGAGTTCGAAGCGACGAAAGTTTCTCGAACTCATTTGAGAAAACCTAATTTTTAATAGCTCCACAAAAATCAGTCTTAAACAAATAAACTATGGCGACGAAAGTTGGTAAATTATTTGTTTAAGACAAGAAAACACACTGACAAAAATATGTGTTATCCAATTTCTCTATTTTCTATAATTCATTTGTTTCTCGTTTGTACTAGTAAAAAAGTATTGGTGCGCATGTTCCCCCTGCAAGGGTAGGAAGACTCAGAGGTCTCAGTGAGTTTACAATACGATGTGACAGTGATGGCTTTCCCATGATGTCAAGAAGCCATGTACGCTGGTGTTTTTAGGTGACTCAGGAGACCAACTCACGTGAGGTGAGAGACTCTACTGATCAGCTGTGGTGCTTGGTAGCAAGGATATAATTATCACCGGTCGTCTATTAAGGTATAGTGAGTGTTGTGCTCTTTAGGGTGGAGAGAATGTGTATTCCTTGGGGTTTGTCTCGTCTCCTTGAGATGAGATGTATTTATAGAGGTCTCTAGTGTAAGAACAAGATTTGGTTCTGCATCTGGCCTTGAGTTTTGATGATGACATTACATGGATGATTAGATAACAATTTAGTACCCTAATGGTTTTTTCAATGTGTAGCTTTTGCTAACAGGTTCTGTCTCTGAAAAAATGACTTGTGATGTCATCATATTCTAGACTCAACATACTAAAGAATACAAGTTTGTGTTTCATGGTTTAGAATGCGTCTTAAAGCAACGGTTCTGAAAGAACGTTAGTTTTATTGCTTCTAACTGTGACTCTATTGTAGATCTTCTGACATGTTCTCAAGCTCTGTGTATTCTATTTATCTTAAAGACAATGTTTTATTGAACGATTTCTAAAGATTTTGAAGACCAACGGTTTTCTAGACCAACTTTTGAAGACTCTGAAGATAAAGTTCTGTTGAACAAAGTTAAGAAGACTCTGAAGAAAAGCTTATGAAGACTCTGAAGACCAAGTGCTGAAGACTCTGAAGACAAGGTTCAAGTTGAACAAGTTCTGAAGACTCTGATGACATGATTCTGAAGACAAAGTTTTGATCCTTCTACACATGCTTCAACCATTACACATCCAGAAGCCTATGAAAATTAGAAGAGAAGATCAAGTTACAACATCACCTCGCCTCCATTATGCTAGTTTTGTGGCACAAGGACAATACTTATGTACTAGGATGTCTACCACTCTCTCACTGGCCGTTGCAAGAAGACAGTTGGAGTTTTGGTACTCCTATTCTACCATCCAACGTATTTATCTTCAGCTATAAAAGGAAGACTTAGAAGAATTAGAAACATTAATGAACTTTGAAGAATCTCACGCTTATTCAATTTACTAAAATGCTGTCAAAATAGCTCTGTAATTTTTGTAAAGCAAGAAGTTGTTGCTTATTAACTTGCTAGCAAGGAACTTTTGTTTGTTAACTTGCTTAACACTTTTGTTTTATTATTTGTACTTCAATCTTGTGTAATCTGCTTGTAATAAGTAATCTTGTAAACACAAAATTTGTATTTGATTGTAAGTTGATTGTTCCTTGAGTGACTAAGGGGTTAGTCTGTAGACTCGAGAAGACAAAGACAGTTGGTCTTTATGGTTTGTCCCTTGAGTGGCTAAGTGTTAGCTTGTATACTCAAGAAGACAAAGACATTTTTTTATTGCAACAGTGACAGGTAGTCTTGTTGTGGTTTTGTAATCAGTTTGGTTATAGTGGATTAAGTCCTTATTGAGAAGGCAAAATCATCTTGACAGGTGGACTGGATAACTTCGTTAACAGTGAGCCAGGATAAAAATAGTTTGTGTTCATTTATTTTTATTCTTCTGTTAATAGTTGCTGTTTGAGTTTGGAGAAATTTTATTTTGAGAAACCCAATTCAAACCCATATTTCTTGTGTTTCTTGCACCTTTAATTGGTCATTCCACCAGTGTCAAATAAATATCCAGACATTTTAGAAATACTATGGTCATTCCACCAGTGCAAATAGTTCAAGTTCCATATTACCAAGACAACTACAATGCTAAACCTCCCATTTTTAATGATGATTGATTTGATTATTGGAAAGATAGACTAGAAAGTTTTTTCCAGGTCATGATGTTGATCTTTGGGATTTGGTAGTTTATGCCTACGAGCATTCCGCAGATGCTAGTGGAAATAATATTCAAAGAAGTGTTATGAATGAACAACAAAAGAAAGATTATAAGAATCATCATAAAGCGAGAACTATCTTTTTGAATGTGATTTCTTATACCGAGTGTTGTACCCCAAAATTTTCCCTCTCATTTCTCAAAATATTTCCTACAAAGATCTTCAATACCTCAAGTTTGCACAACTATCGACTAGGTCAAATAATCTCCTCAGCACTGATGCCTCAAATTAGGGTTTGAGTTTGTACAGAGGCAGTTGGATTTCTAATGTTTAAAATGACTTTCATGGATCATTATGGACCCTCAGGATCTATTTTTGTCAAAGTTTCAAGTCTTGGATCATAATTTCCCAAGAAAGTCATTTAAATTACCAAAAGGGCAAAATGACCAAAATTAGGGTTTTGACTGAAAATGTCCGAACTTTGATTTTTGACCTAATACCTGGCTTATTGGTTGGAAGCATGATCTCAAGGATCCGAGCACACCATTTTGACCAAATTTCATATTTCAATTCATCTCCTGAGATCAGTGGATTGATAGAATTCGGTCAACTGATGGGAAAGTCAACTGTACACTAAAAAGTCAAACTTTGACTTTTTTACCAAAGTTGAGTCCCAAAAATCATATTTCATCAAGACA